CTGTACCTTTCTCTTCAGCACAGCCGACAAAGGTTTAAGATGGGTCAGTCCTCCTGCATGCTCAGATCATTCCCTTCCCTTGCTTGAAAAAGTGTTCCAAAATGAAAGTTGAACCCACATCTATTTTATCTGTGAATTCAATGCCGTTCGGCGAGTCTCAAATAAAAATTTGGGCATCTTACTGTAAAAAAATATACCATTAATGTAAAAACTAAACTCTAAATAAACTATGTTCACATCCAGAATCAAACGAGAGTCCGACGTTTTACTAGGTGAGCTAAAGCCCCAATGATGTCCTTTGTATCTGTAACATTTATATCCTTGATGAAAGCTGAAACAACGTTCAAAGAACGGTTCAGAGCAACAATGGCTATTTTGTTGCTAATTTGCAGGAAATATCTAGAAGAAAGTTCTACAGAAAGTAGCTAATGGTCCTCAGAAATGTAGCTAGCTTTGTCACTAGGCGTTAGGAACAGCGACAAAGTGGCACTGCCTCTCTCTCTGCTGCTAAAGCTACTGATAGCAAATGCTACGGGCGATGCCTGAGCGTGAACGCGCATGAAGCAGCCTGCTCGACCCGAGCATCTCTCTTTTTCTGTGATTTTACAGAAAAACAGGCAATCACAGTAAAAATGCCAGGGCTCATTCTACAGGACCAGGGCATTGCAGGAGAATGTATGAAGAAGACATTTATTATTTCTATACATGTTTTGGCTGTCAAACTTCCATAATGTCCCTTTAATGAACAAATCTGCAGAATTGATCCTACAGGAGACGTCTGCACAACCTGGTGAGCAAAGCAAAAACCAGATCCTCAGCTAAGAAGCTGTGGATCAGACGGCTCGTGGTTCTGATGGACTCCGGGAGGAACTCTTGTGAGGGGTTATGGTGTTGCATCGCTGCAGATCACTGTGTTTGTTTTTCATGTGTTTTAACACAAAAATTTACAGAAATCTCAAACTCTGTTTTTAGTTTTGATCTCATGTTGTTCACCAACAAGCTGAACCTCATTAAAGTCATTTAGTCAGATTTCCTCTCAGAAGTTTCATCAAAAACACATTTTTACCAACTTTGTGATTGTCCAACATCAGCAACACAAACGTCTTCCTCACCAGAGGCCTCTGCTGACTTTTATGAGACCGACGCGCACGTCTGGGAGGAGATTGTTGGGAGACGAAGGAACAAAGATCTGAAACAAACTCCAACTTGGCCAGAAGAGTAAAGACCAGGCAGATGTTCCCTGCTCCCACCAGCTGTCGAGGACAACGTGGGAGGAGCTGGACGTCAGCTGGGATTAGCGTTACAGAACCGTCTCGTCCTCGGAGAGTTAAAGTCGCGCCTCTTATTGCATCTGAAATAAAAACGTGTCTGCAGCTGAGTTTGCTGCAGAAGTCTGTGTTTAACAAAGTGAAAGTTGCAGCAGGAGTTTAACAATCGCCTCGGGTGACTTCCTAGAAAGGCCAATTCAATTTCCAGAGAAAGCTGCATTATTTCTTGCCAGGAGACATTAATGAAGTCTGCAGAGCTCGTTAATAATATTACAAACGAGCTCATAATGAACTGGCACGCGTCACAATGGAGCGTTCTGGACCTGGTTTGACCCGTCGCTTATCTAACACACTGCTGAAGACACAGGAGACACAAAGCAGGACAGACTCGTCTTTGGACAGACGTCCACAGTCCTTCATTACTGTGTCAGCCTTAAAAAATCATCCTAATTATTGATGTCTTTTAATTTTAGCTCCTTAAAGATTTAAAGGGGCATTAGGGAAGTTTGACAGCCAAAACATGAATAGAAATAATAAATGTCTTCTTCATACATTCTCCTGCAATGCCCTGGTCCTGCAGAATGAGCCCTGGCATTTTTACTGTGATTGCCTGTTTTTCTGTAAAATCACAGAAAAAGAGAGATGCTCGGGTCGAGCAGGCTGCTTCATGCGCGTTCACGCTCAGGCATCGCCCGTAGCATTTGCTATCCGTAGCTTTAGCAGCAGAGAGAGAGGCAGTGCCACATTGTCGCTGTTCCTAATGCCTAGTGACAAAGCTAGCTACATTTCTGAGGACCCTTAGCTACTTTCTGTAGAACTTTCTTCTAGATATTTCCTGCAAATTAGCAACAAAATTGCCATTTTCGCTCTGAACCGTTCTTTGGATTGACGTTGTTTCAGCTGTCATCAAGGATATAAAAGTTACAGATACTGTGAATGTCACTAGAGTGTAGCTCACCTTGTAAGATGTCTGACTCCCATGCAGAAGACCTGGGTTTGATTCTGGATGTGAACATAGTTTATTTAGAGTTTCTTTTTTACATTAATGGTATATTTTTTTACAGTAAGATGCCCAATTTTTTATTTGAGACTCGCCGAACGGCATTGAATTCACAGATAAAAAAGATGTGGGTTCAACTTTCATTTTGGAACAATTTTTCAAGCAAGGGAAGGGAATGATCTGAGCATGCAGGAGGACTGACCCATCATAAACCTTTGTCGGCTGTGCTGAAGAGAAAGGTACAGAACCAAATTATTTAATTAATTAGCTGCACGTTCTCCTGTCCTCTGTCCTCCGGGCCACACACACACACACACACACACACACACACACACACACACACACACACACACGGAGCTGACTGTCTCAGCTGTTATTTTCGTTAAGGAGTGTGCACGTACAGCATGCGCTCCTCGTGCACGAGCCTACTATTGAAGCTGCCGTTACGCTTTTGGCCTGAGGGGGCAATCGCGAGCATAAAAATTCTAAAGTCCGAAAAGTCCCTTTAATTCTGTTGTTTCTGTCTGCTCTGACTTTACGTTGTTGTTGTTGTTGTTTTTACTTTGTTTTTGTTTATCCGAACAACTACAGGTGTGTTTGGTACACCTGACACGTGCACCGGGACAGCAACGGCCCTCATAACCCACAGGAGGAAGGAGAGGAGGAGAGGTTTGGTAAACTAGCCCACGTTTAAAATCTCGTGACAGTTTAAAAGTTGGGAACTTTGCAAAAAGGAACCCAGAAAGCATCACCACAGCCTGAGTGACTGAGAACCTTCACTCGCTTTTGGATTTTCAGATTGTAGATCACAACAGTGTCAGGCAAATGTCATTTAGAAGGTAGAAAAGAGATTAGAAACATTCTAGATAGATTAAAGCTGGGAACGCAGCATGACTTCGGCCCAATCCCAAAGCTCGCCCTTCTGTGGAGAGCACTTGAGGACGTGCGCAGTAGGGTCCAAGTACGAAGAACACAAGTGTGCCAAACTGGGACAGGGAGCGTCAACGACCGCGACGCATGCCGATTTGTTTATGCTACTTTCTAAAAAAACCTTTATGCTGTTTAAAAATATATTTAAAATGAGCAAAAATAGGCAATTGTGATTAGAAAAAATGTTAAGAAAGAGAGAGAGAGTGAACAGGAAAGAGGGAAATCAGTGGATCCTGAGGAAGGTGGAATAGGTGGGGAGAGCAGAATAAAGAGAGTGTGGTGAAGAAGGTCATACAAAAGCCAGCTTGAACAAGTGAGTCTTCAGCTGCTTTTTAAAGGAGACCACTGAGTCCACTGATCTCAGGCTCAGGGGGACACTCAGCAGGTGTGTAACAGCTGCAGCTTAGACATCTCATGGGGCTTTAAGGAGATGTACAGTTGGATGTCATCTGCATAAAGATGGTAGGAGATTCCTTTGAAGGAGCTCAGGATGTGCTGAAGAGGAAGCAGATAGAGGAGGAAGAGTAGAGGCCCCAGCACCGAACCTTGTGGGACACCATGGGTAAGGGAGGTGGTGGAGGACCTAAACTTGGAGATGGCCACAGAAAAGGAGCGCTCAGAGAGATAAGAGGAGATCCACTCCACAGCAGATCCTGATAGGTCTACGTCTCTCAGCCTCTCCAGTAGCAGGTGATGGTCAACAGTGTCAAAGGGTGCAGTCAGGTCCAGCAGGACCAGAACAGAACAGTCCCCTGCATCACTGTGAGTCAGAAGGTCATTAGAGACCCTAAGAAGAGCTGTTTCAGTAGAATGAGCTCTACAAAAACCTGACTGGAAGCTATCATAGATGTTCTGTTCATCAAGAGCAGATAATTTAATAATAAATGTTTAATCGTTTCTCAAGCACCTGAATCTAAGAGAGGCTGTACCTTTTAAGATTTGATTTTTTTTTAATCAAGCTTCAGTCCTTTAGAATAACACTTCTACAGCATGCTCTCTTATAAACATTGAACCTCACTCACTCATAAACATTTAATTATGCATTTGAGTGTTTTTCAATCGCCATCCTCCTTCCTCTGTCTTGTAACGTGGGTTACTTCAGTCATGGGATGTTTAGGCTTTAATCAGAACCAGGAGCTGGACTGGAATCTTCATCGAAACCAAAATAGAGCCAAGATTTGGGTCCGTTCATTTGGGTCAGGAGAATAAACGCAGCAGAAAAATGACAGTCATGCTACGCCGGCAGGATGGTGAGCTTCTTGAGTTCTCACTTTAACACACACACACACACACACACACACACACACACACACACACACACGCACACACACAGAGATTAGGATTCCCTCAGTGACAATTTGGCTGCTCACAGTAAAGATATTGATGAAAGGGGAACGGCTTGTTGGTTTATAAATAAAGTGTTGAAGATCATGAGCGATAAAAGAAAACGTTAGTTTGTTTCACACAAATAACAAAACCCGGTGTTTAGAATAAATCCCTCTGCAGCTCTGTGCAGGTGTGTTTCCAAGAATCCAAATTTCAGTTTGTTCATTCAGAGCGTGGAGGCTCGGCGACGCCTCAATGGGAGCTGTGTTTTAGTGCATAAAGCTCATTATTGTGCAAACGGAGACGCATAAACCTGCAAACGCTGCCAAGTGGATAAAAACTGGAAAAGAGGGAAACGAACTTTTCTACATTTTCCAGCATTTCATGACCACTTCTTTTGGGTGGAATCTTTTACACGTTCATTATTTTACATATTTATGATGTACACTGGTGATGAATAAGAGGTCAGTGCTTACTGAGCGTTAGCCATGGTGCAGCGGGTGATGCAGGCAGCGAAGTGCCGGGTTTGGCGCTGCTTCACACGAGGTCTCGCTCACGTCTGCCCGTTTTAGAGCCACGGTTCACCGTCCCACCTGAGAGATGCTGTCCTCATGTTTAAACCTGGGGAGAGCACAAACACTGTAAACAAAGCAGAAAGGCATGAATTTAGCAGCCGAGTGCTGAAGAGTAAGAGCAGCTTTGGGTGTGCTGAAAGTTCCGTCGTGAGAAGTTTAACAAACACGTTTTGATGGAGTGGCCATGTAGAGGTTACACAAAGTGTTGGAAGTTTCTTTCAGCTAAAAGCAGGAATGTGTTTGCAGCCCTGGAACGTGTCTGCAGACTTCCCACGCTCCCATCTATAATAATAGCTCCTGTGATGAAAACCGCACTGATTTCCCCCCAGAGGCTCTGGGTGATGGCTGCATTAAAGTTACCTATGAGGGACTCACCTGTGTGAGATTTACGTCGTTAGAGGGGTGGCTGTGTCTTCCCGTTGGCCCCTCGCAGGTGGTGATGTCTCCCTCGGTGGTGACCACAGTGAGTAGCAGCAGCAGCAGGCTCGCGCTGTGCGTGCAGGCTGCAGCAGTCCTCTGAGCTGGGCGAGCTCCGCCACTGCTTCCGTTGCGCTGCGCGGATTTCAGCGCAAACCCAGAACGAGGCTGCAGCTCAGCTGCGCGAAGTCTCGCCAGCAGAGAAGAACATATTAGCTGTTAAGTGCTAAGAACCGGAAATTGGGCCCTGCTGCGCTGAGAGGGGAGAGGGGGTGGGAGGGTGGGATCCAGATGCGGGTCCAGTTTGCGCTCCCCAACCGAGGGTTTCCCCGGCGCGAGCAGCGGGGAGGGGGAGGGGAGGGGGGAGCCGGTGCGGGGAGCTGTCCAGGTGCTGAAGCGGAGCCCCGTGCGAAGCCTCGGGCGAGCCCCTCCACGGCGGCGTGCACGAGGACGGCTGATCTCATCCGAGGGAGACCAAAACATTGACGTTCCAGTGCCAAAGACTAGCTGTAGCCAGTGAAAGGTGTGACATTTGCATCGCTCCGGTCACGACACGGGATAAAACCAGGAGAAGCGTTGGCTGTTTGGTGGATGTGTGCGTGTTTAGCAGGGAAGCGTGTGGGAAGGAGAATCGTCTGCTCAGATTCCTGCTTAGAGCCGATGTGGAAGCAGATCTCTGGTTTTGTTCGCTTGGTTGGTTCCTCTCGGTGTCATGAGCAGGCTTTTTTTCTGGATACCCAAAATAAAGATAATATGGGAGTATGTAGCGCCTCTGCAGCAATTGGTTTAACCGTTTGTCATTCACCGGGATTAGCCAGTCGATGGTTAAAGCGCACATCAATCAGCCCGGACTGGAGCGCCTCTTCCTGGACGTGGGCCGCTGAGGAGAGGCGCGGGCTGCGGGGCTGTGCGTGAAATAACCACTAAATTACAGCTGGCGGAGCTAGGCAGGGCTCTAAACCAGAGGAGGGTTCACGCATGTAAGAGCACGTGACTCATTTGAGCAGAACTGAAACGATTTGGCGCAAATAAAAGAGAAATATGTGCAAAAGGAACAAAACATTGTGGCATGAGCGAGTTAAAGCAGAGAAGCTAATTTGCAACACAACAAAAACAGGAAATGTTCGACACACACGCACACACACACACAGGTGTAAATGAGCTACACTGTAGCCACAGCTACCCCGGGCCACCGGTCCCTCCGACCACCAAAAGGGTTAAACGTATTTCCCAGGACACTGGGACAGACTGGGCGGGACTCGAACCCACAACCCTCCAGTTGTGTACATGTTGCACTATATAGTTAAGGTGCAGTGGGGATGCATTTTGTACTACTCCTTTTCAGGAACTTTGTTTTCTTAGACTTTTCTTGTTTGCATTAAAAAAGTATTTTTCATTGTTATTTACAAATAAAATGAAACCAGACTGTGTTATGTTGCAGTAAACTGCAGCAAATGTGAAATTACCAACAGAATACGACGTTCAAAAAGTACATGTTTCCATCTTTATGGACAATTTTAAACATTGGTAAAAAACACACAAAAGCCGTTACCAACAGGGTTTATTTGGGAAACTGCACCATCACGTCACTGGGACAGTTGACTTGGTCAGAAAAGAGGCAGAAGGTAACAGATTCAATCATTTTCAGGTAGAAAAAAAGCTAAATTAGGTAGATTTTCAGAAGACTTCATACTTTTATGTTACAGCTTTTAAACTCTGCAATAAAGATCTAACCATCAACAACCTCCAAACACTAAAAGAGAAATCACTGAAAAAATATGACCCTAAACACGTTTTAGCCCTGCTTTAAGTCATCTGAGACTTTCTTTTTATTTCAGGCAGCAGAAGCTGCGATGACAAGATGTGACTGAGAGACACGAAAGAATAATCTAGAACAACTTTTTAACTGTTCGCCCAAACGTGTAAAAGAGCCAAACTCTGATTCAGTGGACAAAAAGTGCATCAGAGGAGTTCGTCATGAACCTTTCTGAGATTCGTAGCATTTTAAACAACAGCAGGAGTTATTTGTGTGGACAGCAAAGCTCTTAATATAAAGCAGAGTTCTCACCCCGGATGACCTTTGACCTTTGTGCGCGGAAACACAATCTGAGAAGAACTCGGCACACGTTTGTTGTTCCCGCACAAAAACACGGCCGTTTTGATTTTCTCCTCTTCGGCCCGCCGCGGTCAGCCGAAGTGGACCAGAGACATGACCGTGGTGTACTCGTGCTGCAGGCAGTCCGGGTCGCTGTCGCACAGAGTGTAGTCGTCTTTAACGATGCGGTCGCAGCCGATCTCGCCGTTGCCGAACAGGCCGAAGAGCGGCGTGTTGGGGAAGACCTTGTGAAAAGCGTCCGCCTCTACGTTGCTTTGTTTGTTGTAGTAGTTGGGACCTCTGCCCACGCAGGCGAACATGAAGCCCAGGGTGTTCCTCTCTGGGATTTTGGCCGCCTTTAGCCGTCGGACCGTAGCTTCCGCTGCCTTGGGACTGCTCACGTCGTGGTCCAAGAGGACAGATGCTCCCTGCACCTTAGGGCCGCTCAGGGCGAGGCCCATCACGCCGTAGCCTCCCTGGCTGCAGCTATGGAGGAACAGACAACGGCGGTTTTTAGCACGTGTCCAACAGATCCACACATGGTAGTCACTAGGGCTGAACGGTTTTAGGAAAAAACACCAATTATTCCCTGTAACTCAGGTGGTCCCATCAGAAAGAAGAGAAGCTTTGCTTTCATGTTCTCATCCTCCCTCTCAAACAGAGCGAGGGACAGACGACGGCAGCACCATCGAGAAAAGACCCAATGTGGCGCCCCGTCAGCTCTAACATCAGACGACGCGGCGCTCGTTAGCACAGGTAACTGATCCTGGGTCAGTCGGGAGCAGAGGTGGAGAGTAACAGATTGCATTCACTTGCGTTACTGCAACTGAGTAGCTTTTTGTGTATTTATACTTTTTAAGTCATTTTTTTAAATCTTTACTTTTACTTGAGTGTGTTTTTCTAAAAGAATTGTACTTCCCTACAACTTTCATTCATAACCTTTACTGAGTAAAAAATAACAATGGCGCATCGCAGAGTCGGATCAGAACGAGAGACGCCTGCATGAGCTCCGCGTCTCACCTGTGGGGGGGGGGGGGGGGTGGGGGGGGGGGGTGTGTGAACACTTTTAAAATTGAGAACGTTAAAAAGCCACTTTTCCTCAAAAGCATCAGTCCGGTCCCTGTGACGCACTCGCCCTTTATCCCCTCCCTCTCCTGTTGGTTGAAGCCTGAACCTTCGCGTCCCGGTGTTACATCATCAGTGTTCTGATTGGTTCTGTAGCTGGACTCGGTTCCGTGGTTGTTTCCCCAACGGCTCCGCGCGGCAGCGGCAAAAGAACGTTTAGCGCGCATAAACAAGCGGATTCCCAACGCTTTGCTCAGGAAACAGGAAACCTGCAGGTGGCTTCTGCGAGTTTGAATATCTTGTTTGTGCAAATCAAAACTTAACACTGGAGCAAATTCAGTTGTAAACATGATGCTCCATCCGTGTGCGCGTGTGTGTGTGTGTGTGTGTGTGTGTGTGTGTGTGTGTGTGTGTGTGTGTGTGTGTGCGTGCTCGGTCTTCTCGATCCCCAGTGAGTCGTGGAGGATGGCTGCTTACACTGAGCCAGGATCCTCTGGAGGTTTCTTCCTGTTAAAAGGGAGTTTTCCTCTCCACTGTCGCAGCATGCTTGCTTAGTATGAGGATTGCTGTATAGTCACTGACACTAGTCAGTGACTTGATGCAATTTGCTGGGTTCCTTATATAGGAAACATTATTTCTGATTGGCTTAATGAACTGACCTGAATTGGAATGTTTATTATGTGAAGTGCCTTGAGACGACTCTTGTCGTGATTTGGCGCTTTATAAATAAAATTGAATTGAATTGAAATTGAATTGATGCTCCATCCGTGTGTGTGTGTGTGTGTGTGTTGTGATTTTTGCACTACTTAGATGTAGCCATCCTTACACTGACAAAAATGTAACTAAGTAAATTTTACTTTGAGTACATTTTACTTACGATACTTTTTACTTTTACTTGAGTAAAAAAATCATCAAAGTACTGGTACTCGTACTTAAGTAGGAAACTTTAATGCTCTGTCCACCTCTGGTCGGGAGCGATCGTAAAAACAACGCAGCTTTGTCGATCACACGATCGCGTTCTTTAAATCCTAACTCCGCTCAGAAAACGACGGACGGTTCAGCCCAAGTGGCCCCAAACACAACGAAGGGGTTTCACTGACCAGCGTCTGGGAGGAGAGAAAACCGTCTCCACCAGCCCTCCTGCTATGAGAACCTTGCTCTTGAACAGCGGCTCTAGAAACTGGTTGATGAACTGCGCTCCTCCAGACCGATGACCTCCGTAGACGAACATCAGGACTACACGCAGCTCTGGGTTGTCAACCAGTCCTGGAAAGAAATTCCAACGCGTGAACGACAGGTGATCAAACACTCGACTCTCTTTCTGGACTACGGAACAACTTGACCCACCTGCTTCCTTCATGGCTGTTGAGGAGATCGTCTTCTTACAAAAGTGGAAAGGCTTGATGTGAACGCCCTCAATGCTGGGAAACATGACCGCAAATCCTGACTCCTCCCCCTCCTGGTACTCCTGAGGAGGGCTGGACCAAGAGCCAGTAGGTGTCACTGTGCAGAGAGTCGACAAAGAGGAATTAAACTACGCGGCGTATCGAACACCGCCGCTAATCTAATCTGTCGCTACGCTTTTACTCTCCTCAGATATTTTACAGGTTTGTTCAACTTTCATACAAACAAATACCGTATTTTCCGGACTAGAAGTCGCACTTTAGTTTGGCTGGTCCTGCGACTTGTATACCAAAGTGACTTATATACCAAATCATGTATACCGAGCTGCTGCCGGCCGGCTCTGGATCAGGAATGAGCTCTCCTTGCCCGCTGGGAGGGTTTCAAACACCGCCTTCCTCTGCTGGAGACCGTGGCGCGCTGCTGCGCCCTGGTTGTTTATTCTGTTATTGTCACCGGTGCTTGTCTTGCAATGTGAAACGCCTGGTCTCAGATTTTGTAAGAAAAATAAGTAAATTTCCCCCCAAAATGCGACTTATATACGTTTTTTTCTTCTTCATTATACATTTTATGGCTGGTGTGATTTATACTCCGGGAAATACGGTAATTAAGTTTTAGACATTAACTGCAGGAGAGCCACAAACAAGTTTTGCTCCTTCTATGATTTCATCCTGACGTTTGGTCTCTAGTGGCCATCGTGTGAACTTCAGCTCACCGTTTAAAAGCTGCTGGAAGCGGCTTTGAAGTATTAAAAAGGCACAAAGTCTCAACAGCAGCAAAGAGAAATGAGTTTCATTAAAGGAGAAGTCAAACTCACGCCGTCTCGTCACAACAGTGAGTTAATGACACAATCACAGCATCTCAGCTCCGGAGACAGAAACGTTACGATGCAGACGAGGAGGAAAACGGCTGCGTTTCCATGGATATAAACCATAAAACGGGCAGCTCTCCACGCCAGCGCTTTTATTAGATGAAGAGTCTAAATGATTTCTGGGCCAAAGTGCTGATGCACTACACCAGGAAAATGATTATTATTCATTCAGAAACAGGTGAAATGACTGCTTCTCTAAGGCTATCTCATCCACTAATAAATTAATAATTAATTATTAGTCGTTTCAAGTAAAAAAAATTGGTCCTTTTGTCCTCAGTGTTCCTCTTTTACATGATTTCTCTCCCTTCAAAACAAAACTGGTGGTACTGGTTTTACACCACATGAGGTTGCCTTTTAAAATCGAATAAACTGTTCCTCAAGGTTCAGGCGTTCCTCCTGGTTTCCATTTCCCAGAATGTGTTGCTAGCACCGACGACAGGAGGCGTAAAAAGAACCCGATAAGTCATCATCTGGAGGAAAGCGCGCGCGGCTGATGGGGAACGGCGTCTCTACGGGGCTGTAATTACCAGGAGGGATGGGGAGCGTAGCGCCAGGCGCACGAGGCAATTTGTCACAAACGCTGTGAGATGTGAACCACCAGAGGAGCTTCCTAAGTAGGAAGCAGCAGCAGAAGGGAATAACGTGTGCCCCTCAGCAGAGATGAACCAATTATCATAAATTGACTTTTTTTTTAAATAGTAGCTTTTTATTTTCCACCATTGTTCGGCAGAAGAAGGCAGTGAAGCTGCAAACAGTGTCATTAGAGGTTTTATGAACTTTAAAATGCTTCACACGCAGAAAATCTGTTGATTTCCTTCCTCGACGAGTAGGTCAGCGGAAGTGAGGCGGGGAAGAGAAACACTTACAGACGATGCCAGGAGAAGTGATGCCAATCACATCGCAGCATTTGGGAAAAAGTTTGTTCAGCTCTTCGGCGGAATCGGCGCTGCGGCGGATCTTTTTCGCTTCGGTGTGATGAAAGAAAAAAAAAGACAAACATGTTAAATCAGGAGGATTCAGAAGTTTCTAAGCTTGTAGTTTCCAAACTTTTCAGCTTGAGGCTGGCAAAAGTGGCAGAGAGCTCCACTGTTGTTGGGTTTAAAACACGAGGTAATAACAACAAGTTATAATGTAGTCATCTGCTTATTTTATTTATTTGACTTTTATTTATGAGGATGAACTGAGGTGTGTCAGCTCGTTTTCAAACAGGTCCTCAAATTATAAAACTAAATAGCCAATAAGACAGCAGAGTCATTACATGATAACAATAAACTCACAATAAGAAAAACACCCAAAAGCAAACCAACAGATATAGATTTACAATATGGATATACAAGTTACAGATTTATACTGCACTTATTTATCTCCAGCACAGGTTAACGAGGAAATAAGCTGTTAGTTACTTTTTATTTAAGGTCATTTTAAGACCAATATAATACCGATACCAAATATAATATAATACCGATAAAAGTTAACCGATACCAATGGAGTTGCTTGAAAACGGCTTCACTGTAACTTGTCATTTCTGTTAGTTTTGTGATGATTTCTGTTCATATATTTTACTTTTTATCTACCTCACAGTCTTTTCCTGCTGAAAGCAGAGAAGAAAATAAAATCTGTATTATAAATCACTGCTTTTTTTGTGTGGTAGAAGTATCGGTATCGGCGAGTACTCAGATCCAAGTATCGTATCGGTTTAGAAAAAAGTGGTGTCGTTGCCTCCCTAAATATTTTATGTCAAAATTAAGCAACGTCTCCATGAAATTAGCTTCAGTAGGACATCAAATGTCTCCTAAACTTATGTTTAAGCCCAAAAACGACTCCAAACAGCTCTGACTCAAACAGCTTCCCCAACAACAAGGCCAATATGGGCTGGGGTTAAAATTCTGTCTTCTCTCCCTAAGCTGGATCTAAAATGACAACAATATCACAAATGTCTACATAAAGAGTTGGAAGAAAATACAAAAAATCCAACTATTATTACCTTTTTTTATTCTAAAACTGCTGTATTCTCCGTCCACGTGTTACAGTAAATAATGACTGATGGATCAATCTGCCCAGTTTTGATTTAGTTCCCTTAAAGAGTGCCTGCTCACAACATAAGTCATCTCCAAGTGGCAGGTTCAGGCAACATGGCTGCAGAACATTCAGTGAAGTTAGAATATTGGGTTAATTAAAAAATTCTAATTTGTCAAATAAAGAAACCAAGAGATTGTGTTCAATCTTCACTTCAATGCAACCCCCCCCCCCCCCCCATTCTGAGCAACCGCAGCACGAGGGCAACAGTGGACAGGAAAACCTTTTAACAGGAAAAGAACTGCCTCAGCTAAACTCATCAGCTCAAATTACAGCATCCGCTAACGGAAAAGGTTTCCGAGCTTAGCAAAGCTAATAACGCAAATAACAAAATCGTGATGTGAAGCATGGGTTACCACCAGAGGAAATACACACTTTGGTGTCATTTGTGGATTTTAAACTTTACGGAGTCATTACCGGGAAAGGATTCTCTACTAATGAGTGTTTTTTTAACAACTGGTTTTTTTTGTTTTTTTACGTGACAACTGTCATAATAAAAGCCTTCTCCATAAACACGTGTCTGGTGAACAAAGTAAATGATACTAACCTTTGCTCTGTGAATAGCTATAAGCTAGCCCATTGAAGGACTCGCTGTCTGCCATCATCAAAACTGTTTTAGGCAGGAGGAATACTTTCTGTAAACAATCAGAAGCAAACAGCACAAAATAAAATATTGTTTGTTGTTTCAGGCAGTTGGAAATTTGCAGATTTTGTGCGTTTCGTGTATTTCCTCCATGTAGTTTCCCCTTTTTATTGTCACTTCTCGTTTTCTGTGATTGCCCTACCAAAGTAGCCTAATGAACTAGACCAAATTCTCGTTTTGCAAAGTTTGGTCTAGGCATGCTCCATTGGAACCTCCGCAGCTCCTACCAGGACTCTGGCTAGCCAATCACAGCTCTCTAGAGGGGTTTCAAACACATAAAGAGCTGTGATTGGTCCATAATGGTGGGCCAATCAAAGTGCTCTATCTGCTTAGTGAACAAATCACAGAGCTTTATCCGCTTTGTGGGCCAATCAGGGCACTCTATGGGCCATTCCCATCTGTACCGGGTCGGCCCGGGCCGGGTAGCCCCAGTCGGCCCCAGCTTGGCCCGGTTGATTCCACACATCCTTGTCTTATGCCCATGTGGGCTGATTCTACCCACCAATCAGAGGCTTGCTCTAATGGAAGGTGTGAATTTGCTGTCAGCAGTGGGTGTGTTGGCCCTGGTCGGCCTGAAGCAGACCCCCTCGAGAAGAGGGCTGAGAATGAGCCTTGGTTGGCCCGGAAAAATACCAGGCCACCCAGATATGTAAACAACCTACGCTACCCGGCCCGGGTCGTACAGATGGGAATGGCCCATTAATGCCTGGTGGGTGGGATGATGCAACAGAGTGAAACAAGAGTATGTCACATTCATTGTCCAGTGGAATGCGGAGATAATTTGAAAGACAACGGTAGAACCCGCCCCACAGCTAAGAGCCGTCAATGGAGGGTGGCCAGAATACATTTATTTAGTCTGGCTTCCCAGGCTACTACCAAAGGTCACTGGAGGTGAAATTTACCTCCACTTCTTCAGCCAGGACGTTGCAGAGAGTATGAACGTCTGTGGTGGAGGGTCCACGCGCTGAAGCCCATGCCAGCTGCTGCTGGGTCCGGAGCACCCTGCGCGCGCAGTTCCTCCACAATCTGCACACACTGACAAAAACAAAACAAAGATGTTCAAAACAAAACAGGAAGTTAGCTTGTCTGCTAAAACACAATTTCAGTAATCGCGCCAAACTTCCAATAAAAATACACCTACCGCTTTAGCTTCACGTTTGTCTAATAATTTTAAAGAACCATAATGACTTTTAATAAGCTAACATAAAGGATAACCAACAGTTTAGCATGTAAACATTACCTCTCGATTCGTAGAAGCGATTTGGTCGGTACGAACGTAAGAATCCTTTCAACCACTTCGGCGACATTACTGAGAACATAAGCTGCCTTACTATCCTGTGAAAAATCGCCTAACTCTTGAATTTCACTCATATTTCTTTCAGATGGAGCGTCTTTAAGCCACAACTGAACAGAAACGAACTTTAACGTCACTTCCTACGCTGCGACGACGAAAGTGGCGGTGCTGCCCCAAGCGGACGGGAGGGGTAATGCAGGCGCTATATTTTATAGTAAATAAATGTCTCAACGGGTGTAAACGTAAATAAATCACATTCGTCTCTTCACACCACATACAGCTCGCTCTCCCTCTGGTTTTATTGCCATGTGTGCGAGAAATCACAACATTAGGAAATTGCTGCAGTTCTTGGTGCAAAAAGAAAGATTCAAAAATAAGAGAAGTAAATATAGGAAATAAGAATATGATCATGATAAAATAATATAAAGTGGCAATAATTAGAGAAACGGCTACTATATAGGTACTGATCAGCTCGGAACAGCTCAGGTACAAAACACAACAGGGTCAAGTGACTGAAACCAAGCCACCGGAGTGTTCATGAGTCCAACAGCAGAGAAGAAGAAACTGTTATTGTGGCGAGAGGTTCTGATCTGAATGGATCTGAGCCTCCTGCCCGATGGGAGCGAGTCAAAAAGACTGTCCACTGGGAACCGGTGCTGATGGTCTGCAGGTCCGAGAGCTTCCCGAGCCTGACTTGTTGCTTCCTGTCTTTCAGGAAGTCAGTGATCCACCTGCAGATGTGGTCAGGCACCTTCATCTGGGACAGTTTGTCTTGGAGGAGGTCTGGCAGGATTGTGTTGAAAGCAGAGATGAAGTCCACCAACAGGATCCTGGTGTAGGTACCCGGATAGTCCAGATGATGCAGGATGTAGTGTAGAGCCATGTTGATGGCATCATCTACAGACCTGTTGGCTCAGTAGGAAAACTGCAGGAGGTCCAGGAGGGGGTCTGTGAGGGTCTTGAGGTGGGGAAGAACCAGGTGCTCAAATGACTTCATGACCTCTCTCTCTCTCCATCCCACTCTCATTTCCCACTGTAAACACAGACCCCATCACCACACACACACACACACACACACACACACACCAGGGGGTCTGGGGTTCTCGTACTTGTGCAGTGATGTTGGAGGGCTTGATGAACACACTCCAGGAGATGATTGTTTGGTCAGGGCCTGGCAGACGTTTTGCCCTGCACAACTGGAGCTCTGCACTGACTCTATGCGTGTGCGTGCGTGCATGTGTGTGTGTGTGTGTGCGTACACCAGAATTTACTCTATGTAAATGTGGGATCATTTTATTAGTTTGTTTTTGCATTCATTCCGTTTCTTTAAACCATTTAGTGAGGCCTGTGATAAATATTTATGTTTTATTTACTGTATTAAAACTCAAAGAAATCTAACCTCAACGAGGCCATACATAATTTGTGCCTTAAATATGTTTTGTTTCATAGTTTAAATATTTAATTATTGATGAATTGTGATTTAGTACAAATTCTCTCTCTCTCACACACACACTTAAAGCTCTTCTCAAAATAATGCTAACAAATTTATATTTTAAACAAAGTGTATAAATCAGAAACCTTTTACACGCTCACTTTGTTTCAGTGACAAAACCTTTAATTTGAGGTTAAAATATACAAGCTTAGGCTTCATTATCGTTTATTTTTTACAGTACATAATAAAATAAAAGAATGTTTTAAATTGTGAAATGTACCTTTAATAATTTAGTTTCTAAATTATGGTAAATAACTAACCTATTTTTTTAATGTAAAACCTTTACTGCTTTTAAAACGGCCACTTCCTCCACACATTTAATGGCAGATAATAACTTTCTTCATGCCTTCTCCAGCGGCTGCCAGTGGTTAATGCTTCTGTTTAGCTTTCGTTTTTTTCCTCGAAGATAAAACAGATTGGGATAAGCCGCTAGGCTAGTACATTTACTGGCACCACTTGGGCTCACACCAGTCAAACGACCCCGGCACCACAGATGATCTGCAAATAGAGTTAAAACCTTTTTCATTTTAAACACATACAATCAATCAAATCAAAGATATTTTATTAATCCCAGAGGGAAATTAGAGTTTCAGTACACACAATTCAGAGGTCAGACATACATGGGCAAGACACATGACAAGAATTGGTGACTGTGGTCATTCGCAACCCTGAGTCGCGCTACCATAATAGAGATAAGAGGGCTACATGAGGATTGGTTCAGGTGGAGGGAAAAAAGGCACTTCAGAGTTACCCTCCACCAGGAGGGCAGCTTTGCTCTGCAAAAAAAACACCTCAGACAGATATGCAACAGACTTCAGACAACACAACATAAGTGTCCACTAGGTGGGGTGGTGGGTTGGGACTATCCCCACTTCAGTTCCTGCAGCCACGATAAGCAGCGCATGTCACTTCACTGTGGATAGGGGGAGGAGCATTGAGGGTTGGAGGGTTGCAGTGACCCTGGAACGTTTCAGTGGCCTTCCCGCTGTCCCGCCCAGTCTGGGAAAGGAGACAGTTGAGTTGCCATAGCGACGGCACATTCCACATATCTTCTGATGGGGGAGTTTTCGTTGGAGCCTTGCAGGCTCAAGGACGCCAGATTCTGATTAGAAGTTGTTTTGGGGCCAGACAGAGACCAATTTCTCTCTGTCTTACAATTTGTTGGTCCTCACCTCTCAAAATCCCAATAATGGACGTTAATAAATCCCAATCCGTGCTGATTCGTCCACTCCCTCCTTGATGGCATCCATCTTCTGTGCCAGTGAATGAAGCTCTGCCAAAGTCCCAAGCTTACGATTCATCTCGACAATTATGTGAGTCTGTGAATTCACAGCACGGTGCAACCATCTCTGAGCTCCGGGATCAGGCCAATATTCCTCAACAGCTCGTTAATTTTCCGGTAAGCCAGGTAGCCTCCAATGCCGATCAGCAGGAAACCTGACACCAACACCACGAATGTCCACACATCTTCAGAGTCCTCCACAGACATCTGAGATAAACAAATCAGGTTCCACTGTTTCCAGGAGTCCATGATGTGTCCAACTGGGTCTGTCCCGGCAGGACATCCGGGAGCCCCTTCCCCCGTTCTCATCGTTGAAAAAAAATGTATCGATCGCGTTGAGACCAGCTGACGAGATCCTGCAGAAGCAGCCGTGCACCCAGCACACACAGACAGACAAAGGCCTTGAGGATAAGATATGGAGGAGAGGAGGAAAAAAGTGTCTGCACCCTCCAAGAGCCGGAAGAACAACACCATCAAATCTCCCATTTTTATTCATTTTTTCTTCACTGTGCTGAAGAACTCACAAAAAAAAAACTATTAAAATAAAAATAAAAAGACTCAAATTCATGATTTAATGATTTATTTATGCTTTAAACATTTCAGAGATAAAATGCGAGACCGAAACAGTAAATGAGTTCTCTCAAGAGCAAAATGACAGCACCACCAGTGTTTGTGTTGCTTAGCTGACAATACGACACATCCATCATATACGTGCTAAAGTCTTTGATGAGCTGTAAGAGAAAATGAGTGCAAGGAATAACCTAAACATGACATCACAAAAGAATGAAGAGTAAAAGTCCCTTTCGTCTAACCTTGGCTGAAATGATGGCTTCCTTCACAATGTTCATGAATGCTTTCCAACCCAAAGTGCAAAGTTCCAACATGCAACAAAAAACACCGCAGATGACGTGACGCTCGAACATTCGTTTGCTACTTTTCATGTACAGCTCGTGTCCTCGTGTTGAGGACGCCAGAAGGACAAACAGACCACGCCCCATTTGGGCAGCTAGCCTTCTGGACCACGTGCAGTCAGGAGGGAGAGAGGACCAGATCTGGGTCAAAGGTTAATCATCTCCAGAAGTGTCTGATCCATCATCTGCGTTAGGCTCAGGCCCTCTTCTTTAGCATGTGTGAGTTTGTCTGTCGACACAGCAACACATCAGTTAAACATGGTCCACGATGAGTGACACCCGTGCCAACTCACTCTTGGGTTTAATGAACTCCGTCCCTCTGAGGTTCGTTTTCCTCCCAAACACCAAAAACCCAAATCGAGTCTCGTAATTGAGGTTTTCTTAGGCTTTTTTAGTGTCGTCTTAAGTTGGCCTTGTTCTCCAACAGCCTGTTTGCATGTTCCAAATGTAATTAAAATCTGGGTTTATCTTTACGTAAATGCTTTTGCTTTACTTGTACCCTGCACACACGTAGCCAGGTGTCCAATAAAACTAAGATTGTTTAGATTTAGTCATTCACACGAAAGCGAAGACACGCGGCACCAACGACCATCCTTTCAAAAACTCTGACCAAAGTGGAGATTTTTTAACTCTCCATTGTCAGCGTTTGCCTGTGGACACAAATATAAATACATACACACACACTCAAGTCCTTCTCAGTGGCCTAGCGGTGCAAGTCTCCGCCCTGGGACTAGGAGAACAGGGTTCGAATCCCGGTCGAGTCGTAACAAAGACCTTAAAAGCTGCTTGACTCTCAGCTTTAAGGGGTTGGATTTGGACGTTAAACCCAAGTTAGTTCCCAAGCGCAGCCGCTGCTGCAGCTCGCCTCTCTCCACAGGGATGGGTCTAATGCATAGATGTCATTTCACCAGTGAGTGATGACTAACTGGACTCAACTTGAAGTCCTTTCATTTAAAAATAAATGAATAAATAAATAAATAAAGGCATATTTGCATTTTCTTTGACGGTGTGTGGCAGACGTTGACCAATTTTCATAGTAATAGTACGGCTCGCCAGGCCGATGTGTTTTTGGCAAAGACGCCAAAGCTTTGAGTAACTGCAGCCACCCACAGGCTTGGCATGCCTATGAATGAGCCTCATGATTCAAATTCAATTCAAAAACACTTTATTAATCCCAGAGGGAAATGGATTGCTGTAGTAGCTCAGAATAATAATAATCAAGTCGTCAATGATGCACTAGATAAATATTTCTGCAGAAATCAAAATAGTTTTTTTCCTAGACGGGTGCGGGAGGACGTTTGGTTTTACAAAACCCCGGCTACGTGTGCACGTGGCTTGAGTCTTTGATTAAAGCTGCTATAGCAAATTGGGGAAAACACGTTAGCCAACAACATTTTAATAACCTAACAAAGCGCAGCTATAAATATCTACAAGAGATGTTTTTTAAATGTGAGAAAAATTTTGTGGTTCTCTCGGATTAGTCCTGAAACTTCCACCAATAACGGCTCGTACCAAGAGCATTGGACCATTCGGTTGTCAGTCTGGCCGAACTATTGGCCCTCCCTGGGTCCTCCACTCACCACACACTCATGTGTTCATCACGAGAACACCTCTGGTGTGAGAGGTTCTCCGCTCAACCAACATCAGAGAAGGAGAAACAGCCGGCTGCTACCACTTCACCTCTGGGACAAACTATCGGAGTCCCAAAAAGAAAAACACAGTTTGACGTGGCGGACAACAACGTTTGGACCTAGAAAATGGCGACTGGTGTTTAACGCCACGTTGTTTCCTCTGGCATCGTGGGTTTTCGGTGAACGCAGAACCAGTGAAGATACCCGAGGGGAGCGGTGAGTGTTCCGTGACCGCCGTTGCGTTTTAAACCTAGCTTGTTTTCAGATTTGCTTTAGCAGCTTACAATAACCCCAAAAGAAAGTGAATCAACTAGAGTCCAGAGACCTCCCAGTCCCAACATGCCGCTCAATGCTACATCACTCTTTTTATTGTTCTAAATGAAGATTTACTAAACTGTTTTGGTGCTAGCCTTGCTCAGATCAGTGCAGTTTAGCACCAAAAGACCAAAATCAGAGGTTATTAACACATTTGGCCTAAACACCAACGTGCTATATGTGAAAACTAAGAGGTCATAAGGCAGAGCAGATCGATCCTGCAGAACAAACAAAACAGCGGCCATTTTTTATCCAAGCTGAGCTAAACACAAGTTTTGGTTTATTTTCTAATGATTTCTTTACTTTTGGCATAAACTGGAGTACAGAGAAATGGGCGGGATTCCTTGTTCCCATTCCACCTGAACAGAATCCATCAGGCTTATCTGAATAAACATGTGGATGAAAATCCATTCTATAGAGTGCAGCATGTACCAGACGCCTGCTGTTTAATGACAGCGTTTGTCAACGTGCCTGGGGTTCGGAGTCAGAACGCGTAAAGCGCACGTTCCCGTTTACGCCTCGTTTAAGGCTACTCTCAGCTCGTTGGTCAGAAGACGGTTTTTCTCAAGCTGCTTGTAAAGATGGTCTGGACAGTCCGAAAGCAGGAAAGGAAAAGAGACAGGAGAGTTAATACAAAGTCAGGGTTAAGAGTGGATCATTAAAACATCAGTGAGCGTGGGACACAATCTGAAAAGACGCTACAACCGTTCATCTACTCATGTTCAAGCTGCCACTAGCTGCTTTTCCCATTTCTTGCTTTTAATCCAAGTTATTTCAGGTTATAACGAGCCAAACTTTAGTTGGGAAACATTTGACTAATTCATGAAATTAAATGAACATTTCAGACGTGCAGATTTTGATCACCAACCTTTGGCTAAAGCAGAAAGCTATTCATGCAAATCCTAAATGTCCACATTTTAGGCAAGGATGTCTTGATAACATCGGCTGGTTTTGGTATTAAAATATAATCTCCATCGGTTTTTACTCTTAGTGACAACTTTTACACACCACACAAATTACATATCAAACAACGCATCAGGATATCAGAAATCCATAGGTGGAATATATCGGTATATCAGATAGTGGTAAAAAGGCTGATGATGACCAACACGGGGGGGTAAGGAGACGGCAGAAAGTTAAGTTAAAGGGTGTCGACTCGTCAGCACTGAAAAAGTTATGAGACCCAAATCCCTCATTTCATTTCGTTATAGACCATAAAAACATAGAAGCCTATTTGGACTATACTAGAAACGTTATTTTGGCCAAATTCATACGTCGACTCATTCACCGCCATTGACGACTAAAGTCGTCACGTGATCAGGAAGCAGACAATCCATGAAGTAGGAGGTCGTTTCGGAACGCCGCTACGCTTAAAGCGAGACGCAAACCGGAACAGCTTCTGCAGCTCACACTTGGACAATGAACTGTGAAAGAACGGAAAGTTCTTCCTGATGTAAGAAGCGAGTCTAGAGATGGTCCTGGAGCACAATATTCTGTGACTCTTCAAAAAAACAGTAAGAATGCTCAAAAACCAGAGAACAGCTGCAGCAGATGCCCAGACGTCCTTGCAGTGTTGCATAAAGTGATTTAATGCAACGGAGTGGGGAAAAGAAATAGATACCACAACTTGGTGTTTGGGGTTCAGAACTGAAAATTAAGGCAATGTGTTATTTTACATAATAAAACCCTGTGTGTTTTGCCCTCATTCTGCCATTTTTGAACTGAAGTCGTTAAAACTCAAAATGAAACAAAATCATGTTTACAAAACAAAATGTGATGAAAAGATTTTTATGGTTTTTATAAACAATCAGTTTTGTTTTGAACCAAAATGACTAAATATGACTAGCTGCACAGCAAAGTCGGATGTGCAGATTTGCACCATATCAGTGTTGTTATGCTTGCAAAGCTTTAGAATAAACTTAGTTCCTTTAGGCAGGAGTTTGAAGCTTTTGCTGATTTTATAATATTTTAACTGAAGTTGAAATCTAAATTTCAAACATTACTTTTGGAACGAAGATGCGTGGTTCAGGAATTCTGCAGAAACGACCCAGTTACCAAAAATCATGATCACAGAAGTCCTCTCAAGCAGAAAAAGGAGAAGTAAATGAGAGGAGCTAAAGACTTTATTCAAAAGCTACTCAACAAAATAAAATAAAACACATAGAAGACAAATTCAAAATAAGACAAAATGGAAATGAAGAAACGTGGCAAGAGAAAAGCGAAGGGCCGACACAGAGGAGTGTTTTATTTTACATGAAGCAGTGACGTCTGCATGGGATGGAACGGTAGACGTGGGCAGCGGCGGCCCAAAGCAAAGTAAAGAAACACAGAAACGGAACATTTACAGAAAGTTGGGCCGTGCTGCACAGGAGAGAAACGATGGTCATGATGAAGCTCGGCCAGCTTCTGAGTGGCAGAGAGAAAAGGTTTAGCTGTGGAAACAGAAAAGCAACAGTTGGAAGGAGAAAACAGAAAAAGTTAAATGAATAAATAAATAAATAAATAAATAAATAAATAAATAAGGGTGAGGAAAGTGGTTGGGACTCAGAAACATTGAGCGAGTTAAACTGGGACTAATCCAATGATATCAGCTAACTAGCATCAGACTAAAGCGTTGAACTCAAACATGCCACTAGAGGGAGCTAGTGAGACAGGCGAGTGGCGGTGGGACCTACAGCACACGTGTGTTGTAAATTACATGGAGGTCATGTCGTTGAGGGCGTGGTCCAGCTCCTCGCTGATGGCCTTGTACTTCAGCTTCTGGGAATACAACTCATCTATCGTGTTGCAGTTAGCAATCGTGGAGGCAGAGGGGTTCAGAAAGCAAAACAAAAGAAATAAGTCAGGTGAATGAAATGAAAACTGAAAAACAAACAGAAAAATACGGAAGGACAGAAATAAGGAGGATGTGAAAACGGCGGCTCGACGATGCGTCGGACTCCTGAGAGTCACAGAAAACGTTCCAGCGACCGGCGTCGCCTGCTCTGTTCACCACCAACGAATAATCACGCCTACGGTTTATATCCTGATCAAACTACCAACGACACGCCACGTCAGTGGTGCGATCCCAACAGCACCCTACACACTCGTGTGAAGAGCAGGAGATGCAAGTAAGGCTACGAGCTGGGACATGACGTGCCGGGATGACGGCTGCCGTGTTGTGCTACTTTTAAATCTTTAACAACTTTTAAACAGTTATTTGACTAAATTTACGTTTGTTGCTGTCCACGTTAAATCGAAGTCCAACACATCCAGAGCATGAATGAACATCATTAATCATCCTAAAATCTACTTCGTTCTCCAGAAAATACATATTGTCAGAAAAGGCACTTGAGCCATCGCTCCGCCTTCTTCTCAAGTTTCCACACAGCAAAGGATTGTGGGTAATACCCGACTAAAGTACGCACTGATGCGGACCTGGACAAAGTGCAGATCGTGGGTGAAAAAGGGGCGTGGTCACCTTCAGCACTTGAGAATCGGGACACCTTACGCTCTCGACCGGGAATGCACAATTGACGGGCGCGAGTTTCGGGACTGGGCCAGAGTTCTGTCCTCCGGCCAACAGGATGGAATTCTGACAGAAACATAAGGATTCATACCCTCCAAGTCATCGATGGTCTTCTCCAGCTTGGCCACGGATCTCTCAGCAAACTCGGCACGAGTCTCAGCCTGAGCAGAGGAACAGTCTCGCGTTAGCAACAGCCTTCAGCCGGTTTGCATCACAAACCCACCTCCAGCGGGGAGTAAAGGGCTCCCCGTGTCCATCGTCAGCGTAATTCAATCGACTTGCTTCCAGGTCTGTAAAAAAAAGCTTTAGAAAACAAACCACTCACCTCCTTCAGCTTGTCTGTGAGAACCTTGATCTCCTCCTCGTATTTGTCCTCCTTCTGGGAGTACTGTTGATGCACACACGCACACACACACACACACAGTTAGAAAAGCAGGTCGCTTTAGGAGAACGCTCTTCGATAAGATCTCCTACCTTCTCTGCCTGAGCCTCCAGGGACTTCAGGTTGTTCTGGACGGTTTTGAGCTCCTCCTCCAGCTCAGAGCATTTGCTGAGGAGTTACAGAGTGGATGAGAGAGGAAATGACATCAAAAGGTTCTTATTTGAAGACAGGGGTGGTGGGTTTCTACCTCTCCGACAGCTCAGCACGCTCCTCCGTACGCTCCAAGTCGCTCTCAATGATCACCAGCTTCCGGGCCACCTGAAGTCACGCGAAATTCAACCAGCCAATCACGTCAGAGAACAAAAAGGACAAAACCAGAATGATGTCGGAGTAAAAGAGTTAAAACCCGCCTCCTCATATTTGCGGTCTGCCTCTTCAGCGATGTGTTTGGCCTCTTTCAGCTGGATCTCCTGCAGCTCCATCTTCTCCTCATCCTTCATGGCCCTGTTCTCAATGACCTTCATGCCTCTGAAGGAAGAGAAAGAGCAGGTCGGTTCACAGTGTCGGCGGTTTTGGTAGTAAACCACTTAGCACCGTCGACAGCCTCGAGAAAAATCAAGTTTCCACTTGAATGTCAGTTACAGACAAACCAGTGTCCGGTTAAGTCTTCCTCATATAAACTCTGTCCAATCAAGATCAAGGTGATTCAGGTGGAACGAACACATTTCAGGTCACTTACAGGTAAAGTCAGCTAAATAAACCATGAGTCGTGAACGCTCCAATAAAAAAAGGGTTTAATAAATGATAAAATCACAGAAAAGTCTCATTCTCAAGATGTCAATTAGAGCAAAAAGTCTAAAAAAATATCAAATCTAATAGAATAGATGTAGGCTAGAGAAATGCAAAAGACTAATAACCTACCAGTAGTAGCATAACACTAGTTCAGGATTTCCCCCAGCGCCCCAGGCTAATTACCCCCAAATTCCACTACCTCCGCTCCGCTCCGACACGAACGCCGGAGCAAAATCGGTCCCGTTCTAGTCAATCAGAGCAATTCCACTACTGCGGCCGTGCTCCGGCAGTGCGGCGCCGTGCGCCGCCCTCTGTTCCGGCGTCCGGCAAAAATAGAATCGATCCTATTTTTGCCGGACGCCGGAGCACCTCCGCAGTAAATGGACAGAAATCACAACGGCCCAACAGGACAAGAAGCGAGCACAATTTCCGTTTTTCACAATAAATCGATAAACAAAAGGCGTTTTTTGTTTCATATGCACAGGTTTAACAACTTTTAACAACTATCAATGGCAGCTGAAGTTTAAATGCACAAAAATAAGCCATAAATACAGTTTCCACTATCAAAGTAGACACACTTTGTTGATCCAAACACTGCTGATCTCTCAACACAAATGATGGGCAGATTAAACAGTTCATGTTGATGCTTCTCCCACACAACGGGTGTTTGGATCTAACTTCCGCGTTTACTGCTCGGACTGTATCGCAAGATCTCGAAAATCCCGCGCATGCTTGTTTGCCCACCTCAGGTCTCCGCACTGGAGCGGAGCCGTTGTAGAGCGGGTACCAGTAAAAATTGAGTTCGGAAGCGAGCGGCTGCGGAAGGCGGGGGCGGACCGGAGCCGAGCGGAGCGGAGGTAGTGGAATTTGGGGGTCATGCCCCGCCCCCCTCCCCGACCCTACCGTGTCCGCTGACACGAACGGCGCAACAAAACTAGAGCCCTGCATCAGCTGATCCTGGTGAGAAACAGCAGCTGAACGTGTGCAACCCCCCCCCACCCACCCACAACGGCTGGATCCGCCAGGCTTAACTCATTTTCTGGGGGAAACCCTGCTAGCTAGTTAGCTAACAGCTGTTATGGTCATTAAGAAGAAAAAAAATAACTATATTCATCTCCCAGTTTAGCCAGTGAAGCTGCACTGGTGGAGGAAACGTTTGAATAATCAAAACAAAACTTTGTTTAAATTAAGAAAATGAGCACCGGTGCCTGAAGTTAGAAAACGTATAACGCTTTATCCACGAGTAGAAAAACCTCCAACAGCTACAGCCACCTTTTTCTGCCGCACGTCGAATAACGAGGTTTTTTTGGCATCAAAATGTTTTCCCAAAATTCACCGACGTTTGTTAAATCCATTACACGTATCAAGCGGGATCAGAAACAAACGTGTCGGCTCGTGGGCCCAGTCCCAACACTCGCACGCTTTTACCTGCGTGATCCTGACCAGGGCTGCGAGTGCGTACGGCATCCCGATTCTCAAGTGTGGAAGTTGATCCCGCCCCTTTTGCACCCTTGATGCGAACTTCACCCAAGTTCGCGTCGCTGCAGACTTGGGTGAAGGGTATTACCCACAATCCATTGCTGCAGGAGAAAAGACTCATGTTCCTTTTCTGAAAAAAAAATAGTTTCTAATGAAATTTGTTCATTTTAGGACGATTAGTTGATGCTATAAAACTTTTAGACAAAGCAGCAATTTATGTAGATTTATTTCAAATAACCGTTTGGCTGTTTGAAAGTTGTTAATAAAGGTTTTTGAAAAAACCGTCATAGCGAATGTAATGTTGCAATCAATGACGCAAGGCTTCCTGTCTCAGTTCTGCAATTATTTGCACACTTGTGCACTACGCACTCGAAGCCTTACAACCTTTTTCCAAGTGCACTTTGCGGAGATTGGACCACATTTAATTTTGTGGCAGTAGGGGAACTACGGACCGGCGGTAGATGGGCAGCTCCCCGGATACAAGAACACTTTAATTTATTATTTTTATGGGTGAAAATCAGTACAGGTCACTGACATCCATATCTGAACAAGAATCTGCAGCATTATTAGCATTTATCCTGGGAATACACACTACAACCCTAATACCTGCACTGCGCCCTACATTCTTCAGCAAAGGTCACTTGGAGGAAGTGTGCAGTAAGGCCTCGAGTGCGTAGTACTAGGGATGATCGAGTACACCACTATCTGTATCTGTACTCGGAGTGGGCGTGGCATAACTTGGAAGTGGGCGTGGTTTCACCAGAAGTGGGTGTGGTTTACCTCAATATATTATTGTAAGTCTGAAATTGATATGATTGATCAGAAGTTGCTGTGTGTTGTTTATTTGAAAACTACAGAGCAGCCTCAGAATTGAGATTAAATATTTTTGATCACAATAGTAAAGGAACTATTACAGAACAAGAATGCATGAATTAATACATCTGAACTCATGCAGTAGGAACTAGGAAATATGAAATACTAGAACCATTTTATTTTAAATTGATTAAACTATTTTTTTCCTCAACGTTCTTAGCATTTTCCCACACAAAGTTAAACAAAACAATGTTGATTAAAGCCGGGCGTACACTGTGCGACTTTTTCACCTTTTTGAGCCGATTTTCCACTCGTGCGAGAATCCACGACATCAGGGCGAGTTTTGCGCCGAGCGGTCGTGTAGTGTACAGGGGGTTACGAGAGGCGATTAACACCACGTGACCAGCTGCAGATCAGCAGTCGTGAGCTCGCAGGGACTTCTGGCGTGTTTAATATTTCGCTCGTCCCTGGTGAGGGTATCGCACTGTTGAAGCGGCGCTGCGACCCAAAAAGTATCAGAACCGCTCACGGCGCATGCGCAATCATACATCAACACCGCTCACCCGCTATTTCCCTAATAACACACGTTGTTCGTTTTTGTTTCTACACGTTTTTTTACTCACAAAGATTGTCAAGAAAGCGTGTTTGTCGTGTTCATGTCAAATTAAACTGATCACAAAACACAGATTTACTTTCTTTATTTCGTTTTCCTCATCCAACCCCCATAAATCCCTGTGTGTCCTCCTGCAGCACTCCCGAAGGACAACAGGCAAGACAAAAAAGTCTGACGTGTTGAGTTAAAACTGCTGTTTTTAGGATATTTTTAGGGCCGACGTGTTGCTACCAGATGTACAGTGTGAGCAGTCAGGTCGCATCCGAGAACTGGGTCGTACAGTGTGAGCACGACTCGTGAGATCTGCTCTGCGAGGAAGTCGTACAGTTTGAGCTGAAGCTGAACGCTACGAGTGAAAAAGTCGCACAGTGTACGCCCGGCTTAAGGTGTGTGTGAGAGAGATAGAGAGGGAGAGAGAGGGAGATAAAAAATTAAAAAAAACCCGACCGGAGCGGAGGCAGTGACTGATGCAGCACGTCAGCTCTGTCTTGTCAAATGCAACACATAAGTTACGAAAAAAGTAACTTTAAATATTCAACCGAAAAAGAGGCGAGCTGAAGAAAACCTAGGGAAAACTGAAGAAACGTGAGCAACAGTGAAGCAATCACAGAGAGATCCGTGTGTGTGTGTGTGTGTGTGTGTGTGTGTGTGTGTGTGTGTGTGTCTCGGACGGACTGAGCTCCGGGCGGCTAGAGTTTTGTGTGTAAGGAGGGGCGGGCGCTCCATGTGACTGGCCAATCACAGAGCGTGAAGACAGTCAGTTACCCAATGAGGATTTTCCTTCAGCACGATTACAGATATTTACGAGTTTTACTCGTTTCGTGCTCGTATTCATCAAAAACGCTTTATCCGTACCGGATACTCGTCTGAAACGAGTACCCGGCTCATCCCTATGTAGTACACAAGTGTGCAAATAATTGCAGAATTGGGACAGTGAGCATTGAGTCATCAACTGTAACGCATGTTGGTCACGGTTTGTGCTACTTTAAAAAAAATTAATTTCCCCCAAAAATTTTTATTTGACTAAATTTACGTTCATTTTCACACATTAAAGCTTAGTCTAAAACATTCTGAACACGACTAAATAGCATTAATCGTAATAAAAAGAACTTCTTTTAAATTACATATTTTCAGAAAAGGCACTTGAGCCAAACCGCCTTCTTCTCAAAATTTCCACGCAGCAATGGATTGTGGGTAATACTCTCGACAGAAGTCCGCATCGATGTGAACTTGGGCAAGGGGCGGATCAAGGGTGCTAAAGGGGCGTGGTCACCTTCTGCACTTGAGGACTGGGACACCCTACACACTCACACCCCTGGCTAGGATCACACAAATGAAGGGCGCAAGTGTTTTAGAGCGAGTTTTGGGCTGGGCCCCAAGTGATCAGGCTCGAGGTGCGTCACATCTAAAAGGGTCCGGGTGGAAACAGTTGCATTGTTCTATGATCTCTCTGCTTTGGTAGATCAAAATGGTAAAATCTTTCAAGACTTTACATCATTCACTCCTACCATCTTACAGCCAATTATTAAATAAACAGATGATTTTATAAATGTCAGGGCATCTGGTTGCGTTCCCTTACCTCTCGCTCTCATCAGCAGCCTTCTCAGCCTCCTCCAGCTTGGTCAGAGCTGTAGCCAGACGCTCCTGAGCCCGGTCCAACTCCTCCTCAACCAGCTGGATGCGTCTGTTCAGGGAGGCTACATCACCCTCGGCCTGGAAGAGCACACCACCATGACAGAGTCAAATGAACCTTATTTGAATATCTCATCAGTGTGTGCTGCACGATCTCCTGTCTAGTGCAATAAGATGCCTGCCGGGGAGCGGAGATCTGTTAAAGCTCAGTCCAAACTGGTTATTTAATGCAAGAGGTGAACACCGATTTAATGCATCAAGATGAAATGTTTGAGCATTTTATCCACCCTCCTTCTGCAGGGATTGAACTGTTTTGTTCATTAAATAAATTAGCTGGATTTTTAATGCGGCTTAGAGGAGGATAAAGGCACCTCCTTAAACTAGCAGGAGGCTTCTATCTCCTGCTCTGACACTAGCCTTGTTTATGGAGGAGGTGCAGGGTGGAGTCCCTGCTCCATCCTCCCCTTAGCGCGTCTCCCTGACAACCGCCGGCTGGGCTCGGCTCGGTTCCGGACTCAGCGCGGGGATGTCGGGCCTTGCAGACAGAAGCAGCCGCGCTCTTTTGACCGCCTAATTCCCCCGCAGCCAGCAGACTAATTGCCTTAAATCACGAGCAGCTTACTCCTTCCCTCGCACTCCTCTCCTGGTTCAGGTCCCGCTGAAGCGACGCCGCCCGGTCCTCCGCCGCATCGGCCTGCTCCTGCAGAGACTTGATTTTCTTCTTCACGGCTTCCAGAGAGCTCCCACCGGCCATGTTTCTGCCTTGTTTCCTCTCAGCTAAGCTGTTTGTTCCTCAGCTCCGCGCAGGCTACCTCTGCCGACACACGTGCGCGCGCGCGCATACACACACACACCCGGGGATGCGGCGCGTTTGATCCCTGCCCCCACCGCCTTTAATCAACCGCTGATGAGGATTGGGACGTGCCACCCAACCCGGAAGTCGCTCATTTCAATCAGAAATCACAACAGTTATCGACTCATAACAAACAAGGCGAAATATCGTTAGCCTGTGTTTTCTTCTAATAATTGAATGTAATTTTAAATTATTCTAGAAGATAAATAAGAGTGTAAATCTCAGTGTAATCCCGCTGGTGTCCCCGGTTGATGAGTTGGACCAGTCCGATCAAGATCACAACTACCCAGCTAATTATTACCACTGTGCCATTCTACTATTTAGTCTTATTTATTAAATCAGTGATATATATATATATATATATATATATATATATATATATATATATATATATATGTATATGTGTATGTTAAAACCGTAAATCCTCTAATATATATATATATATATATATATATATATATATATATATATATATATATATACATACATACATACATACATACATACATACATACATATATATATATATATATATATATATATATACATATATATATAATATATATATATATGTATACTTGTACTTTTTGTACGTTCGTTCTGTGTTTAACCAATAAATAATCATAATCCATTACTTTGTTTTGTTTTCACAGTGTAATCAAAATAGTTTTTTACCTTACATTTTTTACTAAGCTGTGTATGACCCACACTTGTAGTGCCTTTCAGAGCCAAAGTACTCCAAAGCCCTTTACACTAGTGTATCATTCATCCATTCACACACACAGGCAGACGGTGATGAGCTACAATGGAGCCACAGCTGCTCTGGGGCGCACCGACAGAGGCAAGGTTGCTGAACACCGGTGCCATCGGTCCCTCTGACCACCACCAGCAGGCAAGGTGGGTTAAAAGTTGGTTTATGTTTGATGCTTCTGCGAGGTCCGCACGACTCTGCGTGCCCAAATTACGTCATTTTAGCAAACATGCCCCTCCACGTGAACTCCACTCAGCCTAAAGTTTCTGCACTGCACACTGAGGAAATTTTCTGAGCACGTGGATGGACCTGAATTGAAAAACATGGCGGACTGGCAAGCGCTAGTGGCAGTTTGTAAGTACAGACATCTTTATGATTTGGCCCATGAAGATCACTGTGATCAAAATATTGTTAATAATTGCTGTCACAGTCAGAAAAGACATGTAGGCAGTGAAAAAAAGTTGTAAACAACAAGGATTTCTACTTCTACTGTGGCGTAGTGTTGGATCCATGCCATAGAGCTCGATGCCGCCCCCTACAGGCAGGAAGGAACCATAAACACCGCAAGTTGGCTTGGCAAGTTCCGACGCATGTCTCATTTCTGCGCAGAAGGACACAACAGCAGAATTCTCTGTGTGAAGCTGGAATCAAACCTGCAACCTTCCATTTACTGGACAACCCACTCAACCTGTTGAGCTACTGCTGCCCACTTGTTGGACTTTGGACGTGGCCACGAAACCTCTCCAAGGAGGCGTCCAGGAGGCATCCTAGCTAGATGCCAGAGACACGTCGACATCTGGGACGACTCATCTGCGTGCAGCAGAGTTGGCCTCTGCTGCACGCAGATTAACGGAGAAGGAAGTGACGCCACCAACATCGGCGGTGCTTTGAGGATGGCTACAGTGTCTGCCGAAACTGGTAGAAGGTAGATACAAATGAATGCTCTGTGTTTAGAAAAGAACCAAACAATGGAATTTGATGGATTGTACAGAACAAATGTACAAACATGTTTTATGCTCACCTCACTCACAAAAGTGTAATCTGAACTGTATAATTGTTTAGTTATAGTTGTGTTTAGTAGTATTAAGTTGTATTTGAATAATCATGGTAAATGGCCTGTATTTGATATAGCCTGGAACCTCCCCAAGGTGCTTTACAACACAATCAGTCATTCACCCATTCACACACACACATTCACACACTGATGGTGATGAGCTACGATGTAGCCACAGCTGCCCTGGGGCGCACTGACAGAGGCGAGGCTGCCGAGCACTGGCGCCACCGGTCCCCCCGACCACCACCAGCCGCAACGTGGGTTAAGTGTCTTGCCCAAGGACACAACGACAGCGGCAGACTGAGCGGGGCTCGAACCTGCAACCTTCCGATTACGGGGCAAGCACTAAACTCCTGTGCCACCGTCGACCATGACCTTATTTATAGAATTTAGCAAGTTAAAATGAACTTCATTACATCTTTATCTGGATTTTTTAGCCTATTTCTTTTTACTTTTATTCACATTTTCAACTTTTTTTAAATGAAGCCCTAAATTCATTTCTGTCCATCAATTTTAGTGTTAATCTGGATGCTGATATTATCACATTTACTAGTTCAACAATACTAATAATTATTACATAGATTTATTCTCACCATTTATTAGATTACTCTTTATTGGTGGCGCTTTAACAATGTCTGACCAGCTTTTTTAGGCTTTTTCAAGAAACAAACTGACCCTGTCAGTCAACCGTGTCACCATCTAGACTCAGCGTCAGCCTCAACTGAATTACCGTTACACCTGAAGACACGATCAGTTCATCTGGCGTAACACTGAACACGGTAAACAACGTTGTTATTTAATCCGGGTCGGGCAGAGCTGTGGAGTGCCAGAAGCACCACAAATCTGTCAGGGAGTTTTCCGGCTAAAATGTGGCCGTAAAGCATGCGTCTGAAACCGAACACTGGCTCGTAACTTTCATCCAAATGACGGCTCGAAGTGTCGAGCTGACCTTACCATGTCCAACACCAGAGCTAAATTTACCCTCTCAGATTTTCCTTGTATCAAACTTTAACGGTTGAATAATGAATTCCTCTGGTGGCGTTCGAAATCCTCGTTTTTGTCCAAACTCACATCTGTGGCTTTCTTCTCGGCGAGCTCCAGCTTCTCCTGGGCATCCTTCAGGGCCTCCGAGTACTTGTCCAGCTCATCCTCCGTGGCTTTCAGCTTCTTCTGCAGCACCACCAGGTCGTCGTCCAGCTGTGCAGGGAAACAGGAGCATACCGACGATGCACTAAACAGTTCTCACACAGCAGAAGCAACTTTTCACCCTGCTACTGCAGAGGAAGTCATTTTGGTGGGGGTGGGGGGGGGGTGTCAAGGAACCTAATCTTACTCAAATTTTAAACGTATGGTCAAAAGAACTCATTCGCATAAATCAGAATCAATTTCCATAAAAATGAGTAGAAATCATGAGTGGATTAAAAACTGCCTCATGTAAAAGTGTGTGTGTGTGTGTGTGTGGGGGGGGGGGGGGGTCATGTCCCCCCGGCCCCTCCCAAAATGACGCCCGTGGCTGCTGCAGCATGTATTAGTTAAAAGAAATACACAGTTTTTGTTTAATTGGTAAATTAATTATTCCAACTCTCCAAAAATGTCAAACTTCGTTCCAAACATCAACAAACAAGAAAAACATCTATTTTTGGAATTTGAGTTTGATTTAAAACTCGTAACCGAACGGAGGCACGAGGCGCCAGCCCGTGCGTAAAAGCGCACGAAAAGGCTTCAGACCTGTTTGCTTCTGTCCTCTGATGCCTTCTTATCCGACTCGGCCTGCTCAGCTCGGTCCAAGGCGTTCTCCTTGTCGAGCTTGAGCATCTGCATCTTCTTCTTGATGGCATCCATGGCTGATGAGTTTCAAACCTGCAAAGCAAAGACGATCGGAGCGTGCCAACCACGCCGAACACCGAGCTGGAGTGCGAGCTCGCGACCTGTGCAGGGAGCCTTATACTGAGCATAAAATCCCGTTTTGGGAGCGGCGCAGCTGTTTGCCAACGTTGGACCTGACTTTTTTATGAGTCTCCTCAACTGATTTGTCCTTCCAGGACATCTGACAACTTCAGCGACTAAAAATGGACTGGAGGTGTCAAAAAGACACTCCCCATTTACGCCAAGACGTCCACTCCCACCCCTGTCACCCCTGAGTGTGTCGAGGGTCTTTCACTCAGGAGGTGCACGCTCTCTGAGGGGGATCTGGCACAAAACAAAATAATCTCAGCTGATTTATCATCCTGAAACGGAGTCTGAGAAAACAGGCAACATGTGGTCTTTTATTTTATTTTCCTTTTATTTTAGCTTCACCAAATGCAATGATCTGAGGGAAACGATAAACACTCAGCTGCCCGCACTAACGAGCACCAAAACCATTCCAAGCATGGGAGTTATTCACACACAACAAACAGACGTGATTGGATAAGCTCCTGTGGAAGTTCCTCTCCCCTTTCAGCTCCTCACCCCACATGGATCCTTTCAGCGGCCATCTCGACAGCCGAGCAGCAGTCACAGAGACTTGGCTCTCAGCTCCTTTCTCAGATGGTTACGCTCGTGTCCAGGAAAAGATGCGGAAGTTTTGGCATTCCAAAGAGCTCTCCTCCTCCTCACTGCACTTCCAACCCGGTCGCAGCTGTTACCGGAGTTGTAGAAGTCCAAATGACACAAAAAGGAGCAAAGATTTTAAATTTCCTTTATTCTTTTCCTTTTCCTGGGAATAATTTGTCTCTCCTCTTCATCCTCTTCCTCTTTTCCCTGATGGACTCCATCCACATCACTTCCAGTCCTTCTAGTCTCTATAAAGGAGTCACTGGTGCCTTTAAAATCAGTAAATCATAAGAACCCTTAATAATTATTCGTCTTGACGCTAACCCTTCGATTACATTAAAAAAAACTCTTATTTTGAAATGTGTTGACAAAGCAACCAACAGGAGGCATGAATTCGGTTCTGTTTTTACTTTTTCTAAAAGCAGCTGCGTTTTCACGGCGGTCTGAGCCGGTCTGGTCTCACGTCGCTCCTGAGGAGCAGCTGTCAGCGTGTTGTCATCCTGCCATGTGTTTAGTGGACGGAGCAGCAGCCAGCCAGACATGCCCGTCATACCCGGAGATCAGAGCGTCTCATGGCACAATCCCCGTCATCCTAACACCCCGGACCGACACAGGGACGAACATCATCACGCCCAACCCCTCCAGCAAAAAAAGGGATTTTCCGGGATTACAGGTCAGAGGTGTGATT